TAGGGAAAGGGATGCGGTGGGGGTAGCCCAGAGCCAGGAGGCTTGAGCCTCCTGGGTGCTCTGGCGGGGGCAGTGGGGACAGAGGTGACCCAGAGCCAGGAGGCTTGAGCCTCCTTGGTGCTCTGGTGGCAGCGGCGGGGGCGGCGGAGGCAGTGGTAGCCCAGCGCTGGGAGGCTTGAGCTGGCCAGATTTCTTCAGCTGCTCGCCTCCCAGCTCACCTCCTGCTCACTCCTCACCAGCCTCCGCCATTTGAATTTCCTGCCATTGGCCCATGGAGGGTGGCACGGAGCAAGTGGAAGGCAAGCTGGGAGGCAAGCAGCCAGAGAAACCTTGTCAGGCTCAAGCCTCTCGGCCATGGCAATAGCAACAGTGATGGAAGCCCGGGAGGCTGAGGAGGCTTCAGACCGGTAACGTGCTGCTTTTAAAAAAAGTTTTTTGTTTTGCTGTTGGTGGGGGGGGGATTGAGGGTCAGTGTTGTTTTGTTTCTGGTAAATTTTTTCTTGCAGTCCCAGCGTGGGACTTGCTCTGTTTATTTTTATTTTTGGTATTTTTTTGAAATGCTGAAATGGATTAATACCATTCCCATGCATTTCAATGGGAAATGGTGCTTCAACTTATGAACATTTTGACTTACGAATGCCGTTACAATACGGATTAAGTTCGTAAGTCGAGACTGGTTTCATTAAAGATGAAGACAATATATTTTCCAGTAATATTCAAACTCTTGAGTAATATGTTAGAAAGTAACGTGGTAGCAAAAAATACTATAATGTTAAATATATTATAAAAATATATTTTCCATTATAGATATATGACCAAGTATCAAAAGGCCTAATATTCCCATAACAACCAGAACAGGAATTGTAATCACACAGGGTTATACATGATAAATCTGAATGTGAGAAAGTTTTCAAACGGCCATGCTGGTTAGTTCTCCAAAACCTTTTATGCATGTGCATGCATTAGACCAAAGATAAAGTATACATACATATATTTACAGGGAAACTATTCAAAGTCCTCCAGCACATATCAGAAACATGTGTACAGCCTTAAAACATTTATTAAAAATAGCTACACATGTTCTCTATAATATACCACTTAAAAGCACTAAGGAAAAAAGTGATGGTCTGCAATGATGGTGACAGCAGAAAACTAGCGTAATTCAGGAAATTACCCTGCACAGAACAGTACCTTTTAAAGCACTTTCAAGTCTAACCTGCAGTAAAATAGCCAAATGCTTACCTCCCTTGGTACAGTGTTAAAATCCACTTACATTCATAGTACTATCCAGAAACAAAATTTATCAGCATTTACACTTGAATTTGAACAGTGGGCCTAATATAAAACAGGAGAGTTTCTCTTGGTTTCCCACATGTTTTCTGAAGCATGTGTTTTAATTCTATTTAAAACTAATTTGAAACATGCCTCAAGCACACGGATTTCTGCATGAGGAATGACTGGATTTTCAAAACATAACATGTAGTATTTGCTATCAGTATGTGAAACACAGATGAAGTACTGGCTTTTTAAAAGGTTTCACCAAAGATATCCCTAAAGTATGTACCATCTGAAGTATGGCTGAAGCTAAGTAAATGCCAATTGTTACTTAACAGAAGTTAAGAGTTCTTACCTTATCCAATCTTTTCTGCCAGCTCTCTTCACGTTTCACCATTAGCTCAATGCAATGAGAAAGTGTAGCAAGGATTCCAGCTGTTGTTGCCTTGAAAGTTATAGCTTCTCCTTTAAAATCTATGCCATTTATTCCTTTGGGTGTTACATGTGGAAACACTAAACAAACAGATTAGAACTTTATCAGTACTAACCTCATTTATTCAAACAAATGTTACATCAAAAAGCAATCACTGTACTTGTAATGCCTAGTATGTGAACATTAAAATCGTCAGAATTCATGCATTTTCAGAGTGCATAGAGAGAGGTCAACATGAGATATATCCCTGTTCAACTACATCTTTAGAGTATTATCTCAGTTTCTCTTTGCTGTATAGCTCTGCATTTAAAAAATCATGTGGGTGGCAAGAATGACAATACTCTTATAACAATAGCAATTTGACAGCTGGAAATGGGACCCAATTGAAACACAACTACCTTAAAACCTAAGATATATTGCATTTAAAAACCAATAATTAAAATACATTTGAATCTAATTATGAAACATCAAAAATAGATCATGTTCATAATGATGTCCTATGAATTGGATATACATTTGAATATTCCTAAACAAATACATTTTCCCTAGCTACAGTGGATTGGAACACCCCATATTGCATCAACCATCTGTTGCTAAGATTCTTTTAAAAAGTCATCTATTTAAGAGTATATTGGCAGAGTGCTTTAAAAATACATCAACATATATTAAGTATGGCAAAACATCACAATCATGTCAGCTGCTGACGTACTAAGAATGTGGTCAACCGATTTTGAGTTCTCAGTACAATCGGAATTATGTTTCAGGGGGGTAGAGGAACAGATTTCTCAACCTACCTAGTAGCTGTTATAAAGCATTGGCACCTCCATAAAACTGTGGTGCAGATCACTGCATCTGAGAGAAATGAACACATTCACTCTCTCCTTTCTCCTGGGATAAATATAACATTATTGATATGTGCTTACTTGGAAAAAAATTTGATAGCTCTGGAAAATTTACCCCAAGGTTTCTATTTAATTTAAGTAATGTACATAAAATAGCAAACATTTCCATTATCTTGCTGATGGATTTGGAATAGTTATTATTGATCAACATGACTAGTTACATTTTCTGGTAAACAACATTATAGAAAACAGCACCCTTCAGAGAGCATTATTTCAAGTTCTTTTGGAATGCATGTTTTCAATGAGAAAACCCCTTCAAAAATTGGGCAGGAAGAGCGACTGTGATGGGGCCAGAATTAATGCAAGGATAGACAAATCAGGTAATTCTGGAAGTCAACTTCTGTATCTGGAAATTTCCAGAAATATAAAAAAAACCCAAAAAGAAATAATTAAAAAAAAGAAATTGGAAGTGGCTTGAAATTTAGAGAAGTTGCAGAAAGGAGTCCAGAGGACTCTGGAGGGCCAGAAACGGCAAAGCAGCTTTCAGAAGCCACGTATGCCTCCTATGCTGCACTTGCTCTACCCATGAATTAAAGCCTTTGTCACACACGTCCTCTCACCACAGTTTTGATTCATCTCAGGGGCCCTTTTGATACTGGCCATTACATTTACAGAAACTCATCTCATGCAAAGGTGAACTATTTGATAAATTTACAGAAGCTCATCTTATGCAAAGGTGAACTATTTGACAAAGATAAAGCCTAGTTTGGATTAGACTCTCAAGATGAAGATCTGTGGTAACAAGGAGCTTGTATCTCAAACGTAATTGTCTACTTAGGAAATGTCTTCCAAACTGTGTCCAGCATAAGCAGCTGTCTTAATCTCTGAACAAAGTGTCATTTATTACAAGAAAAAAAGGATGAAAATTCAAGATGATAGCTCAAGATAGGAATATAATTCTACATAATTATATTTTATGAGGTGGCTTTCATTTAAACATTATTACACTGGAATTAGTCATTAAATTTTTCACATTTAACGGATATGCTTAATGGATAAACATTCCATGTTACAAAGAAAACCTTGAAACCTTCGGTTTTACAGGAAGCAACTATACAAGATTTAACAATTCTGATGAAACTGGACAATCTTGTTCCTCAAGTTAAATATACAGATTTTTACTGGAGCACAAACAATTGTTGAAACTTTCCAATTTCATTTACAGGGGAATATACTTTAAAGGAAAATACTTTGTTCTTTGCTGTATGGTTGTGTGGCTACTGAAATATTAGTACCTCTGCTCCAAAGTAAGAAGAATGATCCAGAAGCACCAACAATCAATTTAATTGCATTTTCTTGTTTCTCTGATACATTTAAGTGTACTCACATTTTTCTTTACTACCATTACTATTATGTAGAAAATCTCCATCAGAACGTGTTGTAGGAAAATCATCTTCATCATCTTCTACCACTGAACAAAGAGACAAACCAATTAGCGTTGTGCTTAGAAGAGAATCCCAACAGCAGCAGGCTACAAATTATTTATTAGCATCTTGTTGGACTTTTTTCCGAAGTAGGTACCTTACATGATTACAGTGTCTTTATATAAAAACATATAGTCACATAGTTACAGGTTGTTGTTTGTTATTATTTGACATATGCTGCATGTACATGTGACAAGAAGACTGGGAGAACCTGAGGTGCTGGAAGTGGTGGTGGTAACACCTTTGTGCTAATTGGGAGCTACTTTGAGACACCAGTTCAGCAAAGCGATTCAGATAGTCTTTGATCATATGGTCCAGAAATATGCTCATCTTATTCCATGACCTCTCCCACTAAGTAATCCTGTGTCTTTGGATTCTTGATGAAAATAAATGAACTCTTTGCTGGATATAACTGATAAATTAAATAAGCTTTACTGCAAAATAGAAAGGCTCCATGCTCAGAACAACAGGGCAATTACAATGAATTTGGTGAGATAGCACATAAAAAGGATGCATTCCAATTTAGACATTAAGCACTAATATAAAGCTGCATTTTACCTACACTTAATTGGAATTAAGCCCTCCTGACAAGGGTCTTTACTTCAGAGTGGTAATGCATAGGATACAAATGAACATGGTTAGAGAGTTTCAGTTTTATGGCCACATTAGCACTTTGCTGCTGGGTTACTAACTGATGTATCCCATTCACAGTAAAGTTTACATAATCAGAGTAGATTTGTCTTGGATTAATGTGGGCAGGTTTTATATCCTAAGGCAATGGTCCCCACCTTGAGCCACCAGATGTTCTTAGACTCCAACTCCAAGAAGTCTTCACCACCACCTCTGCTGGCCAGGATTTCTGGGAGTTGAAGTCCAAAAACATCTGGCACTAATCTAGCACAAGTTCCACATTAGCTATGTGAACACAATGGGGATACACCCACAAACTAAAGTATAGAAATCTATGCATGCACTGCGAACTGCCTTTGAATAGTTTTAATTAGCTCATTGAACACATTAATGAATGCCAAGTGTAAACCAAGGAGCATCTTGGGATTTGACAGTGCAAGAGAGGAAGAAAATATAGGAGCAAAAGAGTAGAATGTGCAGTATCTTCTCATGAAAGAAATTGGATGTCATAGCATGACAGCTAAAAAGACTACCAATTTGTGACAGACGTCAATTTCCAACTAGACCTGATGATTTGATACCTTTTGTTTCAGTAACCCATTTCAGGTGAATACCTTTATCTCTCTGAAATTCATCCTTGGAGACAGCATCAGCACAGGCATCAAAATATTTCTGTAAAGTATCGACCTGCCTACACAATATATCCCTGAAAGTTTCCATTTCTGCAAGCTTCTCACGCAAACTGTGACCCTTCTGAAAAACAAAAATTCAAAATATTCAGTTGTTAATATTAGTAATGTAAATGCAGGTTTGTACTTCTTCACTGGACATATGTAATTTTAGGTACAGTATACCACTTCCTTAAGGAATTATTATGGAACAGGTAAAACCTGATTTATCATTATGCACGTAATATTAGATCTGACTATTATCCTCAGTACATGTTAAAAAAATAATTAAGCTGTTGGAATCTTCACAAACTTTGATTAATGAGAATTAAGCTGTTTAAGTTCTAATATACAGGTTCTGAATCTTAGACAAAGGATTACAAGTTATATATAACTTGGCAAAACATCCAATGCATATATTCTAATCATTAGAAATAAAGCAACTGCTGGGGAACTGGGGAAAATGACTTGGGATGAAGCATACCATACACATGGTCTTGGCCCCATGAATTATTTTAATTTCTTGTGGTGGTGCTAGTTAAAATACATCTCTTTCAGTGAACACCGAATATGTCCTACATATGTTTTGTATCAATATCAAAATATTGTCAATTATTTCCTTATGCAAGTATTTTTAAAATAATGGCTTTACATTGCTCATCACTAACCTTGAATGAGGAGGTTGATGTTGCAGAATACCCACTTGCTCCAGATACAAGGGAGACCATAGAGCCATGGCGTCGCAAGCTTGATTCTGATCCATAGCCAGATTCAGTCTGAAGGATTAATGCATCCATTAATTACAAAATAATAGCAAACAAATGAATTTTAAAAGATTTCTCAAAATGGATAAGACAGTGGCTTAGAGGAAAGCATCTCTACCAATGCATACAACTTCAATGAATCAGGTATCAAGTGGCTGAAAAAAATATCTATTTGGAAGAAAGTAAAATCTTTCTAAGTGTTAAAATCCGATCATCCAACTTTGTATTTGATTTACTGAATTAAAAACTAAACTGCTGCTTAAGTTGACCATTGCTGATGGGAGGCAGAAGGCCACACAGTCCCCATCCCTTGTTTAGAAGCATTTTCTGTCTCCTTCTCAATGAACCAACCAGTTTCTTAGACCATCAGGACTTCAACCAAGCAAATGGTGGCAGCAAATCCAATAATTCAAGAACATCCACTTGAAGTGATGTACCATATATGTATGACAATGTTTCACCAGACAAGCAGAATGAAAATCCATTATCTAAAAAAAAGAGTGGGCAATACCTTTATGATAACACTAGAATCTCACAAACAGGCAAGCTTTTGTGTTCTGCAAGACTCTTCATCACACTAGGAGCAGCGGAATGAAGAAGAATTAGAAAAGCTCCCAAAATCATGGCCAGATGTTGAGGCCATGCCCTCTTGTTTCAAACAAAGCAACCTGCCCTCAACAGAAAAATTACTTTTGGGACTTTTCTATTTCTTTTGTATCCCCTCTACTCTATAATGACCAGTCTGATGAAGAGTTCTGTTGATGTGACGTTGCCTATTCATGAGATTTTTTTTAACTCATAAACACACCCTTGTTTTAGGATTATGTACATTTTTTCTTTTTTAATAAGAAAGTCTTATTAAATGAAAGTCTACAATATATCTAATAAAATTTGACAGAGTAATTACAATCAGTAATTTTTGCATGCCATTTATCAAGTCAAATGCTTTACTGCTAAAGATAAGATCTATAGAAATACCATCAGGTTTATTTGTTTTGTAGTTTTTGAGATGCTGATGTAACTTATCAGCTCTTTCTAATAGAAGGAATTAAAGATAAGACGTTCACATTTAGTATCAGGAAGATTGATCATAAGGAAAATTTCTTGAATATATTTGTCATACTAGTATTTGGACCAGCTTACTCAATTTGTTAAACAAATGTTTAAAATCCAACTTTATATATTTGATCAAAATAAACCACACACCCATAAAACTTAATAAAAATAATGTTCCACAGAATTCACAAGAAAGATGTTACAACAACAGCACCATTTTGGGACAGCATGAAATGAATAGCTATACAATATTAGTCCTTGTCCTGAAAATTTAATATACCTTATTAAGCAGCTAAGTAGTACTGGAGAAAGTGTGTTATCAGGTAACATGTAATTAAGGTAACATGTAGTAAGATTTTCAAAAGGATCTGAGGGGAAATGTTAGTTCAAAGACTGCTACACATTCAAAATGGTTCCATGTTAAAAATTAATGAAGCTCCGATATACTGGAAAAGGGAGGGCAAGGAAAAGAATTCAGATGGAGTTGCAACCTGAACATATAAGAGAATAAAAATGATACTTTACAAGCAGCTCCAAGTTGAATAGAAGAGCAAAATAAAGTTGTCTCCCTCAGAAATACTAAAGTAGGCATTGATGGCCAAGGATCAGTATACAGTATGCAACAGAAACAGAAATTCAGCAAGGATAAGTATATTTTGCATACTCCATTAGAAAAACATATAATTAGGAGTTTTGCTCGCTAACTTCTGATTGTCCAGAATTTAACTAGTCACTGTCATTAGTTTGTAAGAAATCAGAGAATATATATACTGTACAAATGATCCTCTTCCATTCCCGAAAGCTGTTAAAATTGAATTAGGAAAATACTGTCCACATTTAAAGAGCTAAATCACTTCCTCTATATGATGGCAGGCATACCATAAATGACACTGAGGTATCAGTACTTTCTAAAAACAAAGCAGCCTTGTTAGAAAAATTATAGCCAAAATGTATACATAGGCATTCTGTGCTGGAGCTATTATCCAATCCAATTTAAAAGTAAATTCAGTTTCTTTGACAAAACAAGACAGGACACAGGTCCCTTAGATTTTTGCCTTTGCTATATAATTCTGCCTCAAATAACCACTGCCACATACTCAGTTCAGTTCAGTCAGTGGGAATATCAGATAAACCTCTACATCAGTACATTCAATCAACAGTCCGTTGCATCTGTGTTGAATAGCACACTTACACAGATTTTCCGGGCTGGTATATTTAAAAAAAACTATTCAATTCTACTGAAGAGTTGAGAGCATATTGCACAAATGTATCTACAACCACAGCTACAAAGCACCGCAGACTAGCTTGTACTGTGTCAGTATCTATAATTAGAGACAATTACAAAGGTAGAATTATATTTTATTTACTAAGGGACGGAAAGAAAGCTAAAGGCATGATCTTGTATGTTACGTTCAGAAAGAAGAAATGCAAAAAATACTAATAGCATGGGGAGAGGCAGATAGAAGTTAGTGTTATTTGAAAGAAGCATGCAGAGTAGAAGAATGAAAGCAAGCATAGTGCAAAGCCCCACCATTCTATTACTGCAACATCTAAGCCAGAGCAGATCAGTGCCGCACTTTTTATGTCTTGCAGAGCAGATCATTAGTAATTCACAGCAGAAACAGTCCGTTATAATGCAGATGAAAAATGCTGATAAAAAGCGTCTTCCACTCGAAGTATGAAATATCTAGGTTGCTAAAATAGAAACACCCAAAGTCTACTTAACAGAAAAGCTGAAAGCTACCATCTTGCAAATAAAGGAATTGCTTGCTGTACGTCTAAAGATCAGTACATAATATCAAATACGAACACCAGTTACCATGTTGCACACCCAGAAGCCATTTCCCCAGATATCCATGCATGAGGTGTAGCTTCAAAGCTACACTAAAAGCTGACAAAGTAAGCACACTGCAATATCTTCATCAATTTGCATCTCTGAATAGACTCCATTATTTGTTTCAGAAAGCTCTTTCATAGGTTGATGGTCAAGAGGAGAAAAATGTCACATGATTCTATGCTTTGTGTGATATTTTGTTGATGGAGGCGATGGTGTCAGCAGCATGAGAGCATCCAGAAACACAATAGCTAAGTGTACTCCATCTCAAATCAGATCTTCACAGCTGACTCATTCGCCTGATCGGGATTTCCTTAAGTGGGTCAGTAATGCTTATGAAAAAAAAGGCACTGGCTCATGGAAAGCATCACTTTAGTTCTGAACATACATTCTCGTATTTTGATACATTAATTTTAACCCCTTGTGATAGACATTTTTAATGAAACACACATTTTTTGTCCTGTCCTACATTTGTATTGCGTAACAGCTACAAGCACATACTGTAGTAGAGAACTTGCTTATAAATTATTATCAAGTAACAGCTAGGCAGAGGAAGGTAGAAGGATAAACATACCATCATCGAACTGCAGAGCTGGAAGGGGCCCTAGAGACTACTGAGTCCCTGTCAATCTCTGGCTATAGAGTACCAATTCTATGCCAGAGTGTTTACATGCAAAATATTACTTTGAGTTATGCTTCACTAACAGAGAGTGTAAAGGAGATAAAAAGCTAACCAATGTCACGTTGAAAAAATATACTGAAGAGGTAGATGGATAGGTAAAAACAAAGAAAGTAGAGAAATATAAAAATGAGAAAATTATTATGGAATAAGAATTACCACAGAAAAGATGTCTCAGAAATCTACACACATGCACATAATATTAAAACTACTGCTATGTAATGGTGGGACAACTCAAACAATGTAATCAAAATATGATGTTATACACTTTCTGAAAAACAGCAGGTACAGTTCCTATTTATGACTGAGGAGATGAAAATTCAAGAATCAAGAAAAAATTATATTGAGAAACAGCAACTCTAAATCTAATGCAGTACCAGAACAGGTAGTAGATGGACCAAGCACTACCTAGCAAAGAGGAACAAAGACCTGGAGACAGCTATGATAGTCCTTAGTACTTGTTAAGGCAAGTAAATGGTACTGCAGTCGGTACTTAGAATGACTATAAAGATGAATAGAAAAGTTGTAAAAGATGTAGGAATCTACTTATACTGAATCAGGCCGCTTGTCCATCTGCTAAGTGTTGCTTATATCAGCCTTCCCCAATTTGGATCCCTTGAGACATTCTGGTTTCTAATTCCTACTATCCCAGACTACTGGTCCTACTGGATAGAGATGATGACAGCTACCAGCCAAAACTTCTGGAAGGAATCAGGTTGGAAAAGGTTTGCTGACTAATCACGTTGACTTTTCCAGGGTTTCAGGTTCCACTTGTACTATACTGACAAAATCAAACACTAGAGGAATGTATTACTGAAAAACAAGTACTCAGAGATTGAGGCTTAAGTCTTCTGAATTTAGGAAGCCTCCAAAGTCACCTAATGGTAAGTCAGAACATTGGTCTGTCTAGATCTTTCAGTTCTGACTCTCAGTGATTCTCCACAGTTTCAGGTAGGATTCTTTCTTAGTCCTATATAGAGATCCTTGGTATCCCCTGCTAGTTTTCCATGAAAGTACTAACCAGACCCAATCCTATTTAGCATCTAAAAGCAGGCAACATTGGGAGTGTTCAAGATTGTATAAGAGTTAAATAGGGTTAAAATATGAAGTCTGTAATTTATGAACATCTTATTGACTGGACAAATTGACTACCACACTTCAGAATATTTTACTTCTGGTGCAGCTGCTAGATATTAAATTAAGAGTGTTGGGTGAAGAAAAGAGTTGGGAGCTGGAATGCCTGGACTGCCTACGTTTATGGCTCTTCCTCCTGTAGGTATATTAAAGCCGATGCTTTGCCAGAGGCAGCTCCTCTGCACCATGAAAAATGCACACTGAGCCTCGCACTTGGGAGTTACAGGAGGAATCACACGTCAAGAGCTGTGGGTGCTGTGTCTCCAGCAGAAATTCCTTGCTACAACTTCTTTTTTGTATCCCTTCCTC